CATTCCTGCCAGGACCTTACCGGGTCCTTCCTTACCTGTCTCTCCCCTCTGATGCCTCTGGGATCTGCTGCTGCTTACACAGGAGGCCGGGAAGTGGCTGGGTCAGGACAAGTGCAGGCCATCGGTGTCCCTCCTTCCTAACTGCAGCCTCGGAAGGCTCAGATCAGCTCTCTGAGCCTCGGGCTGCTTTTCATCTTTTAATGGAGGTCATTGCCATGGCCCTCATCCCAAGGGAGTGGTCAGAGATGAGAAGAAGGTGGCTTGTCCCCAGGCAGGACAGCAGGCTGAGAGGACATCTTCACAGCTTACCAAGCACACTTCTGTGCAGTCCCACATCACCAGTGATCATCCGCATTTGACAGATTAGAGCCCAAGGCTCTAGGCCTTCACAGCCAAGTACCTACTACACACCTGGCCAGGTAAAAGAGACCTCAGGACGGGGCTGTATTTCTTCTGTCAGCTCAGCCGAGCCCCTTGCTACCCAGCCCCAGCCAGGCCCAAGGGAGGTGGAGATGCTGGGGGCTGCCCCCATGCAGGAGAGGCTCCTAGTTTTCCCCGAGTGATCAGGTGCTCCCAGAGGAGCTTGTCTGGCCCTAGCCCCTCCCTGCTCCAGGACGCCTCGGTGGTTCTCCCTCACCCTTGCAGCTGGAGAGGAGGGCATATGGAGGCAGTCACAGTTTCCTTCCTGGAGTCTCTCTGCCACTGTTTGTACCTCTCCCTGATCCATTCTAGCTCCCCAACTCCTAGGTTGGTGAAAGGGCCAGCACGCCACATCCTCATACTGTGCTTGGAGGCGGGCTGGAGGGAGGAGGGCTCAGAGCAGCAAGGAGGGCGAGGGCCGCACAGTCTTTCATTTGGAAATGCTTCACACTGTTGGCTGGTTATGGCTGATCTGCAGGAGCTCATTGGGGTGATTGTAGCAGGACCTTAGGATGCCTTCAGAGTGGCTTATTTTTTCCCTTCAAAACCCTTAGAGGACGTTAGAAAAATAAAGCAAAATTTCTACATGAAATAAGCCGGAGGTGCATTTGTTGCCTTAAAGCATTAGTTCTGTCGGTGGAGAATAGGCCGCTCTGAATCTGGCCACCGAGTGCATTGAAAGGACGCCTACCCTAAAGAAGCCTCCTCAGAAATGCCTCCAGCCAGGCCCCAGGAAGCCCTAGGAGCTGCCAGGGCCAACTCAGTCCTCCTCTGGTCTCCAAATAGTGCTGCTACAGATCTTCCTGTACCCTAGGATCAATCTGCAGAGAGAAGAAGGGAGGGGGTTTCTTCTATGGAGGGGAGAAGGTCTGGGCCTTAGCAGGGCCTGTAAGCTGGGAGGGACAGGGTCACTTCTGTCTGCTTCCTGACGCCAACCCCTGGAGGCGACTGGATGCCCTCGGGTACATACCTGTATAGCACACGACTACCCTAGCTGCCATCTGGCACAGACAGCCCTCTGGTCTGCGTGTGACCCGTCTCTGTCCTCGAGGTGGTCTCCAGCTCCTTTCCTCTCTGCAGTCACCTGCCCCGACCCCACGGCACCTGGCATGGTGTCTGGTAGGTAGCAGGTGCTTGGCTAGTTGGAGCCTGTGTAGCACAGGATTTCCAGAGCCTAGAAGCTCCTCTAGACATAAAGAGCAGATTGTTTCAAATTTCAAGTTACAAGTTATGAACTGTGAGGTGAATTGTGAAGTCAAATTAGCAGGTGGAGACCAGCAACTTTTTAATAGACTAGAATAGGAAATTCGGAATACATCCCACATCACATGGTAATTACTATTTTGTGACTTTTCATTTCAGTTTGACTGTGCACACTCAGGTATATATAATGATGAAAAATTGTGAGTCGTGGTGAATAAAGAGCAAAAGCCACTGCCATGAGTTGTCCTGCAGAGATCTGAGGGTCTATTCTCAGCCTAGCCCCGTGGCCTCCCCAGCTCAGTCTTCCCTCCTCTCACCCTCCACCCCTCAGCACCTTGTACAGCCTGGGCCCCCAGTCTGGACATCCTTCCACAAGTCTTACTGTTTGCTCTGCCTGAGGCCCGAGTGTGAAGGTCCAGAGCCACTTCCCACCACCAGCTGCCCCACCCTGGCAGACACACACAGCAGATGCCTCCCTTCCGAATACTTAGAACGTTTGTTCAGACAACGGTCACTGACAACTTTGTGGGATATGGGATGGTCTGGTAGTTTCTAAATGAGAAAGTGTCTTGTAGAAGTTTAAGTATTTATGGGGACCAGCAGTTGGTGTCATGGCTATGCTGCGGGACTCCCATGTAGTCGGCTGTGGTTTGAGTCCCCAACCTGGCGGCTTAAACTCACGCCGGGCACATGTGCATGCGTGCCCAAGATCCCGAGAAGAGAATGGAGGAGAAGGGACTGCGATGTTGCCATCCCCCCTGGGGGGTGATTTCTCGCTTTCTGTTTCTCTGTCTCTCTCTGTCTTTCTGGTGAGTGCGTGCACCCTATAGCAAAAATCTCTCTCTCTCTCTCTCTCTC